AGTCAATGGTGCTCAGGTTCGTGCTGCAGCCTCAGTTACACACTGAATTTTGCAGGATCGAGGCTGCTGGCTGGTCAGGGATGGATCCTCACTGGAACCTGTTCTTCCTCAAGCCCTGGATCCAACACAGCAGGCTTGAAATGCCTCGGTGCCTGTCACTGTTAACTTTATTTCCTTTTAAACACTGAAGAGCTTGAAAAGTTTTTTTTTCCCCTGAGAAATTAAATGACAGTATATGTAGGAGGAAAAAATATCATCTCTGGCTATATTATTTTACTGTGCCAAGCAGTGGGGAGGCCTGACAGAGGATTACACAGTGGAAAAGGCTTGGTTTTCTGTGCATGCTTTAATGACTGGACCTTTGTTCTACCTCTTAACTGTGATCATTTAATAATTCCTTGACTCCCTTTGCCCTCAGCATGATGTTGCCTGTAGCTTCATTGCCTTGAAGGACACAGTTGAAATTAAAACTGTAATGGAATGATTCAGTTGGTAACACAGGTTACCCAAAAGCTGCCTGTGGAGTGGCCTTTGTGAGCATCTTCAATACCAGAATGCTTCCCTAGACAAAAATTAACTTACAGGTGTTATGTGGTAAATTCCCAAGGCATGGAACTGTGGAATGGTTTGGGCTGGAAGGGACCTTAAAGCTCATCCTCTTCCACCCCCTGGGCAGGGACACCTTCCACTATCCCAGGTTGCTCCAAGCCCCATCCAATCTGGCCTTGGACGCTTCCAGGGATGGGGCAGCCACAGCTTCTCTGGGCAACCTGTGCCAGGGCCTCACCACCCTCACAGGGAAGGATTCTTTCCCAATATCCCATCTAACCCTGCCCTCTGGCAGCTTAAAATCAACCCCCTTGGCCTGCATAAAAAGTCTCCCTCCTCTCCCATCTTTAAATCCTGCATGAAAAATCTCAATTGAATGTTTAGCCAAGAGCAAAATGAAAGAAAATTCTCTGGTTTAACTAAAAGAGTTGGAAGCAGATTTAGACACCTTTGCACAGTAAACCCTGAGTTGCTCTGGGTACAAGAGCTGCTCTGTTCTCTGAAGAGTTCAAGTTTAAACATCCAAGTCAGACTGGAGGTGGGAGGTGGAGCCAGCTCTGGGGGAAGGTGACATGCCTAAAGGTGGCACAAGAGGACAGTAGCAGAGCTGGAATTCCACCCCAGGCCCCCAGTTTTGCACCTCTGCACTGTGCCAGCAGCATTCCTGGCTGCTCCTGGAGGGTTGGCAGCTACATTCAGCTGTGGGCAAACCCTGTGTGGAAGGACATTATTACCTACAAGTCACCATGGTGTGTAAAGAAACTGTGAGAAACAATTCTGTGTACCCTGAATAGCTGGGGAGGCCTCCTGAGCTTCCCTGCAGCCTGGGAGGAGAGGTCCCTGGGGGAGGAGGTGGCTGACGGGGCAGAGTGGTCAAGAAGAAGAAGAGAAAGCATGTTTTGACTGAATATACCAGGGGACTTTAGTTCTCTGGGCTCAGCCCAGTTCTTGCAAGGAAATCGTTCCCAACTAAATCCCCAATCCAGCAAACTCCCCCAAACCCCTCCTTCATTGGAGAAAGATCTCCCAAAATCACAGAATTGTTTAGGTTAGAAAAGCCCTCTGAAATCATCGAATCCAACCATTCCCCAGCCCTGCCAAGGCCACACTGACCATGTCCCCAAGTGCCACATCCACACGGCTTTTAAATCCCTCTAGAAATGGGGACTCCACCCCTGCCCTGAGCAGCCTGTTCCAAAGCTTGAAAAGCCTTTCCACGAAGAAATCTTCCCCAGTATCCAACCTAAACCTCCCCTGGCACAACTTGAGGCTGTTTCCTCTCGTCCTGTCCCTCCTTCCCTGGGAGCAGAGCCCGACACACCCCCCCTGGCTCCACCCTCCTGTCAGGGAGTTGGAGAGAGAAAGAAGGTCCCCCTGAGCCTCCTTTTCTCCTGGCATCTCTCAACATGACTGGCATGACCTTCTTCTTTTGGGGACGATAGTTTGGCCATGCAAGTGTTTTTTTAGATGTAGAAGGTGATGGTGGTGTCTGTGGTTGGAAGCTCCAAAGCAGACTTCCCTGTCCCTGCTCCTCTCTCTCTTCCCAAGGTGCTTCGTCAGGGTCCAGAGAAAATCAGATCAGATGAAATCCTATTTTGAGTGTCTCGTGCCAGGTTTAATTCCTTGCTCTGTGTCTCTCTCTGGAAGGAGTCAAGTGTCCTTGACTGTACCTGCCCCCTCTGGAGAGATAATTCTTTTGTTTCTCCACTTGTTCCTGTACCCTCTGTCTCTCCTTTAGTCTGGCCCATTCCCTAAATGACCCAAAAATGCCCATGCTCCCTCACAACAGAAATAATAACAGGAGGCAAAGATTCCAGATGAATGTTATCCCTCTGAAATCTTCATTTACAGTTAGTTTGCAGCAGAATTTTTTTAGGAAGAATAAATTTCCTGTAATGGGAGTGAGTCAGCATGGATATATTGCAGGTAAATCATGTCAGACTAATTTGATCACTTATGCTAATGAAATAACTATCGGGCTGGATGGTATAAATCTATCTGGTTGCCCACAAGGCTTTAAGAAAATTTTGCCTGATGGATTATGGTCCAAACTCCCTCAGTGTAGGTTAAAATAATCTATTATTGAAAAGGGTAAAATACTGGGAGGAAGGCAGAGCCATGGCTTGAAGCTAAGGGTGAGTGTCACTGAGGAGGTGACCAGGGAGCAGATCCTCTGCTGGGGCTCTGGAGTATTTTTATTAAAGATTTACACAGCGCCGCAGCATTTGGATCATTAAATTTGCAGATGATACAGAGCTAAAGGGATCAGGCAAGACTTACTGGCCTTTCTTTGCAGGGAAATTACTTTTTGGCAGTAAAATCTTGCTAAATTATGTAGGGAGACTCAAACCATGATGTTGACTGGACCCAGATGCTCCGTGGCAGTTGCAGAACTGGAGGTGCAAAGTGGGGTCTTTGCAGTGGAGATGGGGAGGTTTGTGCTGGAGGGTGTGGAGGGGGGGAGGAATCACCAGCAGGAGGACACAGTGAAGGTTTTCCTTAATTTTTTACATTTTTTTAGAGTCCTTAAGAAGCTCTCACCCTAAGCATTTGCCCAGCAGTGTTTGATAAGTGCGAGCAGCTTTCAGAGTGATGTGCTGACTGTGCTGCTGCAGTGACAGTGGTACCTCCACTGCTCTTCCAGCCACCCTGGGAAACAACGTGCAGGCTTTGGAAGATGTTCTATAAGTAGCAGCTGATTTGTCACATGAGACTCTGAGCAGGGGAAGAGTGAAAATAACAGGAGAGTGATTTTTCCTCTATTTTGGTCTCTGATTTAAATAAGCTCCTGAGGCAGGATTCGTTTCTGGGAGAAGAGTGAAGCTTTTGAATTGAGATTTCTGCCATGGGAGTGAACACCTGTATTTCAGAGCCAGTGTAGGTGTTTAAACCTGGCCAGTTACACTCACAGCAGACCCAGATACTCCCAATTTCTTCAGCATTGCGACACTGAAGTGCAAACCTTCAGACAGTGGTTATCATTAACAGAAGGGCAAAAATATTAAAATGTAACCCAGAAAATAAATCTGTTCAATAAATCAAAGGTAGAAGCAAAGATGAAATCTGAAATCCCTGTGTAGTGGGTATAACTCATTCCTACTGCCAGTTCAAAATCAACCATCACAGGGGAATTTAATGGTACCACTGTTTAGTGAAATTAGACTTGACACTGGCCAGGGACCTGTTATTGTGGTTGGTGAGGGTTTGCAATTGTTTGACACTCATTAGAAATCCCAGTAACCTGTTTAAGGGCAGGCAAATTCAGATTCCCTCTCTCCTTCCACAGTTACTCATCACACCACAGCCCTGTGCTAATTGGAAAATGACTGGGGGAGGAGCAGGTCTGGGCCAGGCTGTCCCTGGAGCAGGGAACGCGCTGGGGCTGATCCCGCTCAGCGTCTGGTCCTACACAACAGCCCAGGAAAAACCTGCAGGAAATGAACACCACCATGGCTTATCAGAGCCAAAAGAATTATTCATCTTTAACGATCCCGGTAATTTCTTTATGGGAATTCAACTCTGTTTCCTTCAGGGCCTCCAGCAGAACTCACAGTTCCCTACCTGAACCTCAGTCCTGGCTTTTGGTTGATTCAGAGCCTGCCAGTGAGTTAGAGAAGCTTTGCTGGTCCAAGCCACACTTCCAGGGAGTGGACCTCTGAAAGCTCCCAGGCGAGAGGGTAATCATGGAATCCCAGAATATTTTGGGTTGGAGGGACCTCAAAGACTGTCTTGTTCCACCCCCTTCCATGGGCAGGGGCACCTTCCACAATCCCAAGTTGCTCCAAGCCCTGTCCAACCTGGCCTTGGACACTTCCAAGGGATGGGGAAGCCACAGCTTCTCTCGGCAACTGTGGGTAAGCTGTGAGCTCCAAGCCTACAACCTTCCACCTCCGGCTAGAGGGAATCTTGTTTAGCTAAACCAGAATTGAGTGGAATGGGGGAAAATTTAGCTAATTGGGCTGTGCAAGCTGTCTGGGAAACACCATGAGGTCCTGCAGGGAGACAGGCAGGTGCAGAGAGGCTTCCTAGAGCTCACACCTGCACGAGGAAGCAGTGAGGTGTGACAGGAACAGATCTGGGGAGTGAAACATTTGGTGCTGGTTCACTGTGTGTGTTCTGGGGGGAATTCCTTGGCTTAGGTCTGGTCTGGCTCCGTGGCTTGGAGCATTCAGTAGCAGCTGGGTGTGTTGTGTGGCTCTCTGGAGCTCATCTCATGGCTGAAAGGAATCCAGTTCTGCAGCCTGGATGTGATTGCAGTAAGAGGGAAGGTCAGGAGAGTCACCCCAAGGGGCTCCAGACTGAACCAAACACCGACAGAGGCACAGAGGGGTCAGGGAGCTGGTCAGAGCAGCCTCTCAGTCCTGGAAACAGCAGGTGAAAGTTAATCTGAGCATGCACAGCCTGGTTTATTGTTTTGATAACACATTCACTCTGAAGTGCTGTTGTTCCAGGGAAGCAATACTGTGCAGTCAGGAAGTTGCTTGTTCCATGATTAGCATCGCTGCAGCTCCCGAGGGAAGGGATGGCACTGTCTGGGCAGACTTGGAACCTGCTGAGAGCACTTGCACCTGGTACTCCACCCAGGATCCAGTCTGCAAGTGGAAAAGTTGCCACTGATGACTTGGAATTTAGGAGCCAAGAGCTGCTGTGCTGTGTGGGACTGTCGAGTGAGGGCGGTGAGGAGTGGAGTTCACCCAGCAGCTGTGGCACGAGTGCCCAGCTTGGCTTGGCAGGAAGGTGAACAGGTAAGATCAGCTCCTTCAGTTTATTCTCTGCAATACATTCATTTTTCATCTAGGAAATACACCCCTTGTATCCCACTGCCCAAGCCCACGCGTTCCCTGCATATCCAAACAGCAGATGAATTGTGACAGTTCATCTTCCAAAAGCCAAGGGAGAGGTGGAAAAGGGACCCCTGTGTGTCGGGGCGATGATTGATCCCTGTTTATTTTTGCTCAGATGCCAGGCCGGGGTTTGAAATAGAAAAGCAGGATCCTGTTTTGTGGAGTAACTTTCGAAGGGGGCCCTGAAGGAGGAATGTAAGACAGGGCTGAGGAGATCAGACAGGAACCAGGAGAACAAAAGGCGGCACTGTTGGAGATGTGGGAGTTGGTGCTGGATGAAGCGGGGCCTCCCGCTGTTCGCGGCTCGCGGCTGCCGGGGCCAGGCTGGCATCCCTGAGCAGGGGGAAATGCAGGGAAGAGCTAATCTATCCAAACAGAAGGACAGACTTAGCTTGAGAAGATGAGCATGCTGAGCTGGTTTCTGCTCTGTTACACCCTGAAACCTCGCTGATATCCGTGCAGCTCCCCAGCCGGAACTCGGAGCAGACGGGGGTTCTTTATGCATTTTCTCCAGAGCCAGACTGGTGAGGATTTGGTGAGGACTGGAGAAACTGATACTGAGATTTTCAGCTCGGCAGGAGGGAATCTGTGTTTGCTTAATTTGGGAAGAGACAGTCATATAACTTACAGTATGCGAGGCTTAGGCAGAAATATCCCCCGAGCATCGGGCAGAGTTCGAGGCAGCCAGGAAAAGTCTTTCAGGCTGCCCGAGCTGTTCCACAGTACTTCCTCCATTCCTTCAGATACAAAGAGATGCCTGCTCCAAACAGTCTGTGCAAGGACTAGACTCCAGTCTAGTAATCCAGGGATTCCTACAGCTACATGTAGTCTAACCAACCACTTGTATAATTTTTCCGGAAGGTGAGTTAAAGAGCACCTTCTGGAAAACACCAAACCCCATCATTTCACCTCATTCCCTGGCAGACTCTTCCAGTGCTGCACAGCCTGCACAGCTGTTTCTGTCAGGTTTACTTCAAGGTTAAATGTGCAATCATTGCTCCCCAAAGCCCTCTCCAGCAATTGCCATCCCCTGTATCAGTGCCTGTAGCAGTGACCAGATCCTGCCTCAGTCACGTCCTGGACAAGCCAACAGCCTTGGGCTCCTTCAGGAGCCACAGGACAGCTTCCACTCCCCAGCTTTGCAGAGCTGCTCCTGTGTTTTCCCTTTCTCCATGAAGGAAGGAACTCAGCCTGAATATGGCCTTCCAGCAGGTTGTTGGAGCTGTGTGCCAGAAGGGATCATCCATTGTCCCTTCCAAACACCCAGGGATCAGAGTCCCCCCTTTGTGGCAGCTTTAGGGCTACAGCAGATCCCTGTGATGTCTTCCAAGTCCTTTTCCAAACAATTCCTTTCTGAGGCAGCGTCCTGTGAGTGTAACCTGCATTTCTGGTTTCAGATGTCTTACCTTGCATTTGACTTTTTAAATCATGTTTCACTGGCATGTGGCCAAGTCTCAGTCATGTCAGATCCCACTGTATTGATAGTCCAGTCCTGCTTCTTGTTCCCCTCCCACCAATCTTGTTGGCATCTGCAAACTTCCCCACAACAAGGATTTATCCAGAGTCATTTAGATCATTGATAAAAATATTGAAGAGAACAGTACTGGGAGTTTCTCTCTCCTTTTATCCCAGGTATTTTTACCCAGTGTAATATTGCTGTATGTTTATTGAGTTGTGGCTATTGGAACATCCAGTAAATATGCCTTTGAAGAACAGCCAGTTTCCAGGAATGCTTTCCACCTTAAATATATATTCCCAGCCCATTATGCTGGCAACTGACGTTAAGGTTTGGGAAGCCAGAGGTGTTAAATGCATAGGGGTGTGTGTCACTGCTGGTGCCAGGTGTTTGCACAAGTGTAACCAGGTCATGCCCTGTGGCGTGGAGGCAGCTCGCTGGTTTTTGGATCAGGAACTAACTCCTTGGCCTCCCAAGGTCCAGCAGAAGGGTTTCCCATGTGGATTGCAGCAGTTTCTGGGCTGAAGGTGGTGTTTCAGAAGAGCTCCTGTTCCTGGCTTTGTGAGGTGCCTGGGAGCTGATCTGGGCTGCAGCTCACCCCAGCCGTGCACCTTTGCCTTGTGCCATCGTGTGACAGCCAGGCTGGACACTGTCCTTGTGGGGATGACCACCTCAAAAACTCTTAATGCACATTTGGGATGTTTCTTTTCAGTTGCCAACCTGGCACTGAACCCAGGAGGGAGCAGGGCTGCTCTGATTGCCCTGCAGTGACCTGGATCTGCAGGGTTATCCAGAGCCAGTCCAGGTGTGCACAGGTCGGTGCATTCCCAGCACAGCAGTGCAGGCACCAGTGGGGCAGGAAGATTGCCACAAAAGATACCTTGCCACCAACAACTCTTTTTATGGGTTGTTTAGGACCTCTAAAGGGTGCAGCCCAGGAGCTCATTTAGATCACAGGTTATGAGGTTACAAACCCAGGGAATTGTTTATAAATATCCCCTTCACCCTCCAAATCCCAAATCCCAGAGCAGCTCTGGGAGGTGTGGGTGTCCTAGAATCTGGCTTCACACTGGCAGAGGTTTAGGTGGGATATGGGGAAGAAGTTCTTGGCTGTGAGGGTGGTGAGGCCCTAGCACAGGTTGCCCAGGGAAGCTGTGGCTGCCCCATCCCTGGAAGTGTTCAAGGCCAGGCTGAACAGGGCTTGGAGCAACCTGGTCTAGTGGAAGGTGTCCCTGCTCATGGCAGGGGGTGGAATGAGATGAGCTTTAAGGTCCTTTCAACCCAAACCAGTCTGGGATTCTGGGATTCTATGATTTTGTGGCTCTAGGATTCTGTGATCTGCCCCTTTTGCAGCACTTCCCAAGAGGAGAGGTGTCACTGTTGGTGGTCCGGACAAGGACAGCTCTTGTGCCAGCAGCTGTGTAGCAAATCTCTATGCAGAAATGCATCCCAAAATCTCAGATCTGGCCAAATATCCCCAGGCTGGTACAGCAGAGCACGAAGGAAGTGGCTGATATTCAGAACTTGGTCTTTAGCTGCACAGGAGCTGAAAGCACGGGCACGTCTGTGCCTCTGGGAGAGAGGCCCGGGAAGCAGAGCAGCCTTTGGCACAGGAACAGCAGCTCCCCCGTGCAGAGCTGGAGGCAGAACAGTCATTATGAGCAGGAGGTGACTTGGCCTTCAAGGAGACACAGGAGCTGCTCTGGTTTGCAGAGCCTGGGTCTCGAGTCCTGATCTCACCGTGGGGTTGGCTGGGGAGCTTGGCACTGCCAGTGGGAAAAAGCCATGCAAAATAAACAAAAGAGAGTCCCTTTGACAGGAATCAAGGAATTCTGACTGTGCACAATATCATCCAACTGCTTCATTTCGGGGCTATTGCTCATGGCTTAGAGGCAGGAGGAAATAAGGGAAGGCAGCTCCTGCTACACTCAGCTCAGTGTGGCCTGGGAAAGCCTTGGGCAGCCTATCCCCCATCCCTGTCTGCTTTTCATTATTGTTTTTATAGCCAGAAATAAGAGCTTTATTGGCTTTATTCATCTCCTGTCAGATGCCCAATCAACATCTGGCAACGCAGCAATTCCCAGAAAGTGCTGACCTAGTGAGAGCCAGCGGAGCAGGAGGTGTGGAGGAAGGTCTCCATCCCCCTTCCCATCCCTGACTGCCCTTTTAATTATCTTCCCAGCCAAAGTGGGATGTGTACCCTCACCTCACCCTTGCTGCCTGCCTGGAGTTCAGAACACCAGGCTCATGGGATTTCCTGGGCTTGGAAGGCACCTGAGGAAACATCAGTATGGAAACAGGGGCAGGAGCAGCTGAGCAGGAGCCAGGGCATCCTAAAAACTGCTCCCAGGCTGGAGCTGGCCCATGAATGGGGCAGAGACTGGACAAAGGGATCAGAAAGGAGCTGATCCATTGCTTTGTGCAGGGCCTGGCCAGTGTCAGAGGGATGCACATGACAGGGCAGAGGAGCTCAGCTCTCCCTCCTCCCATTTGCCTGTTTGCCTTTGCACAGGACTCAGAACTTAGGCATGAAAATACAGGGATTTTTGGTAGCTTCCTGCAAGTGAGAGGATCTTAAGATCCAGCAGAAGATTGACTAGAGAGGGACCCATTTTTTTTACTTCAGTGCACATTGGACTCATAATAAAATCGGGTGTAACAAGCCAGAGGCAAGTTCTGTTCCATTCAGAGATTAGCCCGAGTTGTGGCTGCTCCAGCAGGTCCAGCAGGTTCCCTGTCAGATCCCTGGGCTCCCACACTGGATCTCTTGAGCCCCCTTTTCCCACATGGTCCCACCCTGACTTCTCCCGTGGGTGTGGGTGGCTTGGTTTGTGCTCAGTTGTGGTACCTGCCCTTCCACATCTTGGCTTTCCTTTGCTCCCCATCTCCTACATCCAGCTCCAGCCAGTTGGTCAGGGCAGTTCCTCCCCCTTCTCTGCCAGGGTCTCCTCCCCACATTTTGGTCTGGTTTTGCTGCCCACCTCCATGGGAAGTTCCCTCCTGTTCCTGTGGCAATCCTGTCCCTCTGGTTGCTGTCCTGTCCTGTTCCAGCTGCTGCCCAGCTCTGTGAGTGCTCTCCTGCCCACAGATCCTCTGTGGGCTCTATGGCCCCTCTGTGAGCCCTTCCCAAGCCTCCACACTGAGACACCATCTAACCAAGGCCACTTTGTGGCTGCAACTGGTTTTGTCACCTTGTGCCTAAGGAGCCTTCGGTGCCCATGAGGAGTGGAGCGGGTTCCCCCTTCCTCCTGCCCAGAAGTGGAGCTTCTGGGGGAGATGTAGCCAGGGCAGATAGTCTTTGGCACTCCTTTGGAAAAGCTGTACCCCAGCATGGTCTTGGCTATTCCCCTTGGAGTAGCAAACCCTGCCATGAAACAAGGACTCAGACCCTTGTAGCCCAACACGACGCCGGGTGCTGGGAGACGGGTCCCATCCTGCCCATTTTTGGGATGTGCAGGCACCCCGGAGCTGGGTGTCATTGCTTGTTCTGTGCTCCAGACCCTCAGTGAGAGGTACAGCTCCCTTAGAGAAAGGGTCCCACTGAACTGCCTCATCAGCTGCCCACTCATGTGAGCAAATGCCACCAGTGCGAGCCGAGGCACCGCAATCCAGCCCATAATGCTCCTTTAAAGACATTTCAGCAGCTCAATTAAGTTTCCACTTGTGTGTTTTCTTTCTCCCCGCTTTGCTTTCATGGTCATTTAAAACAAATAAAGTGAGCAGAACACGGCAGCGTGATAACCACCCTTTAATTCCCTTCCCACGGGTCTCCCGATTATTTGGTGATTCAGCGGCAGCGGGGGGAGCATTTACAGAGGGGAAGGCGGGAGCTTCCCACAGGGACGCAGCTCGCAGCCCAGGGCCCCCGAGCCTCGGGGAGGAAGTACGTGCCTGGGGTTTTCCCTCTGAGCCCCGTGGATGCGGTGAATGCCGTGCAGAGCCCGGGCCCTGCAAGAGCAGCGGCCCCGCTCTCAGTGCCCTCGTTGTTCTCGCATTGTGCGCTGGGGACGGGACCCGTGCTCAGGATGTATTTCACGCTTCTGTGCAAACACAATATGAGATGAAGAATTCATACCCTTGCACAAGGAGACCAGAGTGTATTTTCTCATAATAAGGAAAAGCAGCCAGATCAGAGCCTGCCAATTCCTGCCCCGTGCTCCCGCCTTCCCTTGGAACTTCAAACAAGCCTGTGCTTTTACACTGGCGCAGAGAAGTGTATTACGTTTCTTTAAAACCCAACACAAATCCTTTTGGATCTTTTTTTACATTATTCTCCCCACCTCTGTCTTGGTAGGTGACTTTTCCAGCCCTCCCCCACTTGGTCTGTTGGGTCAGAGTGGAGGTAAAGGAGAATTCCATGTGTTTTGTGTGTGTGAACAATTAATAGTGGTACGGTGTCTTGCTGGAAGAGGGTGTAAAACACACCCCAGGAGGGGAAAAGTAACCAGCCTGCTGAACGCTCCGGAGCTTTTCCTGTGCTGTAGGCAAACACTATGTGGGGGTTGGTTTGCTTATTCATCAGCTGCAGTAAATAACGGGCCTCACCTTGAGCTCTCCTTGAGCCACTTCTCCTCCCCAGCCCCCCGGCTGGCAAGGAAAGGGAATATTTACTGTCCTTTGGGTGACAGACTGGGGGTTTATAGCTGTTCACATTTTAGCTTTAAAGCTCTGTTTTGTTCTCTGTGGCTTTGTCTTCCCCAGCACCTGAAGCCTCTTCTGGAGTGTCCAGCCTGACATGGAGACTGAGCCCTGACCGTGTACTGAGCCCATCATTCCCACATCCCAGCCAGGCACTGTGCATGGAGGTGCTGCTCTGGGCAGGACACAGGATGCACCTGAGTCACTTCAGACATTTATAATCTGATCCCTCAGAGCAGCACCGTCAGCAGCTTTTCCTCCCCCTCGTGCAGTACCCGGAGACGTGTTCCCATCCCTGGGCACCTTGGAAGTCCCAACAAGCCACGAGTGGCCAAGACCTGCCGAAGCCTGTTGATCCAGACACTGGATTCCTAAAACCTTTGCTTTCCCCAACACCTTCATAAAGTGTCCTGAATTAAGGTGATTCAGGGAGCACATTTCCAGACTGTCAGAGAGCTGCATCCATCACTACCCTGAACATGCACCAGATTGTTAATGCTCCAGGCCAAATACCACGTCTTTTTTAATGCCTACCAAATGCAATGTGCGCTGCTGGCTTTATATTTATAATAATTATTACAGGAACGGCAGTACCCACATTCCTATAGGCTGAAAGTGGCCAGGAACAGACAAAAAAAATGATTCATTGTTCCAATTAATGCTGGAGCTCGCACTGGTGATTAATTAGCCTGGCGATAGTGCCATGCAAAAGATCAGGGTGAGAATTAATAGGGAGACACGTGCTGACTTTTAAGAGGGTTCCACCAGTGTTTGGTGCCCTTCCTTGGGCTGCCTCAGCCCGTTAATTAGAGGCACCGGCGCGGGCTCGCTCCGCACCGACAGACCCAACGGCCGGTGGGGCGGAATATTTATAGGACAGTGTGCAGCAGAAAACTTCAGGACTAAATTCCCATCCAGGTCTCTAAATATAATTTTGAAATGTCAGAGACGCTGGGAAGAACGGTGGCGCCGCACGAGGTTGCTGTCAGGGAGAGGCAATAGTGTGCCAGATTTATACTGGGCTGAACAGGCAGGTGACTTTTCAGCTCCTGTGTTTCAGGGAGCCTGAAGTGCTCTGATGGACCTGTTCCACCTGGTGGGAGGCAGAGAATCCAGTGCTGCAGCCTCGTGCACCTCACTTGGATGGGTGAGATGGAGCAGGGGCAGCTCCCAAGAGCCTGCGAGTCCCCACGAGGCACAAACCACTCTGAAGCACCAGCCTTTGAAGGTGAGCCCTCTTGGCAAAGTTTCTCCTCCAGGTTTTATCCATCACTCCTTCTGCTGCCTCATTATCTTTCCCTTCTGCATATTGGTCCTCCCACTACCCCAATTCATTTTTCCCAGTTGCAGCAGCTATTGACTGGTCTGTAGGGATGGGGTGTAGCCAGTCCTGCCCCGGCTGCGCCCGAATCGCTGACGGGGCCGATCGCTCTGATCACACATCAATCTGAGAGCACAGGCAAAGTTCCATCCTGCTGAATTAATTGTTAGGAGCTGCAACCCCAATGTCTTGGTAAATAAAATATTTTAATCTCCAGGGGCCTCCCTGGAGAGAGTGGAATAAATACATCAATATGTAAATGGATCCACAAGAGGAGGATGAACTGGGACTTTGCAAAACTGATAAAGCATCTTAGGAGACGTGTTGTCACTGCACTTCGTGCATATTCTGATGAAGCAGACAGAGAGGCTGGATCTGAGCCTGGGTTGGGTGGGGGGAGGAATGGAGGGAGGGAGTCGTGTGGGCACCAGCACACCGTGACTGAAATTCTTGTATGGATTGATTTGACTCAAATATATTCCGAGGCTCATCTAATTGCTCCTTTAGTCTCAGGCTTTGATTTTCCTGTTGTTTTCACATCTCTCTTGCTGAGTCTTTCCTGCATTTCAAGCAGCCTGGTTGGGGCAGTGTCCAGACCAAGCTGCCCCTCTGTGTGACCAGGAGTCAGTACCTGTCCTTGCTGAGCCCTTTCACAGAGCCTCTGCAGCAAAGTGGGCACAAAGAGTGAAGGACAGTGAAGGTCAGGCTTTTCCTCTATCAGTGTTTTCTCTGTGTAACAGCCTTGGGGGTTATTTTGGAAAACAAAGCCTGAAGCTTTTGGGACACCTCATTCATGATGAGCCCGTGCTGGTGTGACCCCCATGGGAGATCTGAGGGAGCTGGGGGAGAGCACTTAAACAAAACACGAGCAGGAGAAGGTGCAGTGACCAGTTTGCTCGCGTGCATCCTGCAGGATCCTGCCTGGCTCTCCCTCACCTCTCCTGCCCTTTGCCCTGTGCTGTGTTACCCCCTTCCTGGGAATCGCCGCTCTCCGGCATCGCCGCCACATCCCACGGCACGGGTGGGAACACAGAGGCTCTGCTCCCAAACAGCGGCTCACCTGCGCCGTGTCAGGCAAGAGCAAACCTGTCACCCACCTCGGGCACCCGGGCGCGTCTCCAGTGATTTCCAGGGCGAGGCGAGCGGGAGAACCCTCCCACCGCGCTGCCCGGGGCGCTGCCTCCCTGTCCGCGGGCTCAGCTCCAGCCCTTGTTTTGCAGCGCGCACGTGGAATTTTATCACCTTCAACAATGGAATCTGTCACCTTCAAGCTGCCTTATTGTAATCTGGGGATTTGTGCCCCGGCCCTGTAACAGGGGCTGGGCTCCTGCCACAGAGCACCGCGTCCCTCCCTGTGCCATTGCTAACGCCTGTGGGCCGACGGCGGGAACTTTAGGGACATATTTGGGCTTGTTTCCTCACCGGGATCAGATCCTTAATTGATCTGTCTTCTTTCCTTTCTCTCTCTTTGCCTCCTTCTGCCTCACGTGCATCTCAATCCCCGTCTTCTGATCTGCTTCACCACCCCCTCCGGCTCTGAGAATAAATCCCATCAGACCTGCGGTACAGCCAGGATGCAGGAGGGGATCTGGCATTTTAAAGAAGCATAAGTACGTGTTTTAAACGATGGCACCTTCATGTTGCATCAAGTATAAAAGCACAGGTGTTTGAGTCATTGGCTGGTGGATCTTCTCTGTGAGAAAGCGATTTGATAGTAAAGGGAGTGGTGCCTCCTCAGCAGACGGGGCTTGGATGTCACAGCCCTTCAAGTGGGCTGTTGTGGGAGCCTCTTTGTGGGCAGTTTGGGAACCTTGGTAATAAATTTACTTTGATTCATCTGCTTTAATGATCTGCTAAGATCAGAATACTTGCTGCATTTCTCTAGCTCCCATTGTAGCTGCATTTTTGCTTTAGGGGCTGAGTAGTTCCCTCTGAAATGCAGTTATGTACATTTGCATATGCATTTGTATGGGCTAATTATAAACTCACCGTCAGCGCTGTGATCCTGCACAGCAAAAGGGTTGTCCCCGTTTGGAACTGTCTGCTTTGGTGCAGAAATCAGAGGGGTTTTTTTGTAAAATCATTTGGCCACATCTTTGGGGCTTAGATTTTCAGCGAATAATCAATACCCTCAACAAAAGATTTAAACAAAAAAAAAAGGTGTTCATTGAAGTTTCTCCGCAGGAAAAGATCGATAACATGTATTATTAAATATAAAGAGACTTATGTCTCGAGTTCCATCACACCACAGCTTATAATAACCCTTCAGAAGCTCGAAGCAGGGCTTTTTTTCATTAAACAAAACATTATGTTCCCCTGCTGCCATCATTCCGGCAGCATATTGGAAGGTGCCTGTGCCCAGCAGCTCTGGCCTGGAGGGCTGTGCTCACCCCTGCCCGTCGATGCCGTGGGTTATTTCATAAAAACAGAAATATTTATTTCCAAAGTGGATGTTTAAGAGGTGTCAGCATGTGAACAGTGGCAGGGAAGCGTGTTTTCTGGGTGGCAGTTTTAAACATCTGCCTCCTGAGCATCTCAGCAGGAGATGGGGACTTGGAGAGTGACTAGGGGTGCAGTTGGTGATGGTGCAGCTCACACCCAAGTCTCCCACAGCCAGTGGTCCCGACCCTGACCTGTCCCCTCTCTCTCCATGCACTTGGACATTTTAGAGCATGATAGTGGTCTCTAGGACTGGGAATACAAGGATTTCCAGCACCACTGGTGAGGAGCTGGGGCAAACCCCTCATTACTCTGCGTCCCTCCATCGTTGGGTGTTCCAGAAGTGGGACTCGCAGGCCAGCGCTCCGAGGCAGCCAGGAAGGCTTGGAATAAAGAAGTGCTTCAGTCCTGTTTTCATTCCCCATGGCCAGGTTCCAATATCCAAATTGGGATTACCAGAGTGAAGTACAGTTGGGTTTTGCCTCTGCCGACCTTCAGCAGCAGCTGTTCCAGCCCTGGGTCCTTGGAGAGCTCTGGGGATGCACCTCTGTGTGATGTGTCAGGCTGATATTCCTGCCTCCAACCTGTCCAAAGCCAGGACTGACATACCCAACTGCAGAGGTTTTGTGGCAAGCCAATGGAAACCTTTTCTCCAGCACATACAGATTTGTTTTGCAGGGCAAAAATAAGCAGCAATGCAAATATCATTCTCTGTTTTGTTTCCCCTGTCTTTTTTCCCCCTTTGCTTCAGGAAAGCAGGAAGAGGCGAGGAAGGATTGACACCCTATCCTGCCGAGGGCCTTTGCTGAGCTGCCTGCTGGGAGCACTGGCTGTGTGTTTTCTCTGTAGGTAGGAGCTCTTTTCATTTTCTCGCTGCCTCGCAAGTCGCACCGAGGTGCCTGGAGAAGGATTTGCTGCTTGCTTATGAAATCCATTCTCCCTCGAGGATCTGCTCTTTCCAGCTTGATAAACTTCTAATTCTCACTGTCTAATAACACCGAGGGACTGTGTTTTGTGCCTCGATGAGGATTTTGTGACTGATGTTCATCGGCGCTTGCAGGAGACCAGTAACCTCATTTCATTTTTGACAGAACATCGGGACAAGAGCTCTGGCTCCTTCCCCCTTCTTGGTCAGGTATAAATGAAAGAGAAAGTGAAGTGGATCTGATCTGTCCAGATCTGCTCTCTCACCGTGTTGCTCAACTGCTGACACTGTGTCTGCCCCACGTGGCTCGTGGACACGTGGTCAGAGGACACGCTCGGCTTATTTCTGCTATCGCTGTGTTATCTTGTTTTTATTCTTGGTTCTCTGCACTGTCTGGGATGTTTGGAAGGAGCTGCTGTAACTTGGCGTGGGAGTAGATGGCTTAAATATTACCTCACAGAGTCCATGTGAATTTAGAGTAGATAAGGATTGGACCCCAAATGGCTTTTTTTAACCCATTCCTGTATTTTCTAGTTATTTCCCTCAGCTCTTTCTGATCTATTTCCATCAGATTTGAGATGCTTTATGCTTAGACCAACTTCATCTGTGATACCTGAACAGTTTCTACATGGCCAGTAGAGAGATCTTGCACTTATGCACATGCATGTCCACACACAGGTACCATCTCTGATGAAGGGCTTGTCAACATAAGAAATTCCAGAAATATGAAATAAGAAAAATGCCCACAATGAGGAATTCACAGAAAATACACCAGGTACTATTAACCAAGGTAGCCAGGTGATATCATTCACCAAACTGTGACACTGTTCTCATAGAGTAAATATAATTTCCCTTTAAAAATCCCTTTTCTTTCCTTAGGAGAAAGGACACTTAGAGCACCTGTACTGAGAGGGAGAAGGGGGAGGAGCCTGTGTGCACACCCTGCTTCTCCTGCTGTTACACAGATTCTAAACACAGGTTTGGTTATTCCTACTATATGTTTATTTTTCCTCTCTGCTTTCTTGCTTTGAAGTACCTGCTTGTGTTCTCAATGAATAACAGCTGAGAGATCAGGAAAATGGCTTAAGCATTCAGTGGGCTGGAAGCTGTTTGGATTTCAGACAGTGCCTGGGAGAGAGCTCTGCACAGTGCCTCGCTGCACAACCCTCCTTCTGTCACCGGCCGAGGTTGCCGTCCTTTGTTCCCTCCCTGTAACTCTCCAGAGCCTTCGAGGGAGGGAAAAGAGGGATGAAGGAGGTGACTTTAATTTCTCTTTTTTAAATCCCCCCAAGTCCTCCTTTAAAAAGCCACAGCACAGCCCTTATGGGCCATCTGCCTTTATTTCTCTTGTGCTCCTTGGCTTTGTTCCTCATTTCCCCTCTGTGCCCCTTTGCAAACCTCGGATCCTTGGGAGCCATGAGCAGGACCCAAGTGCCACCCGAAGCTGCAGCTCCCCCTCTGCACTCTGCCAAGGAGGAACTGCCCACAGGACACTCCAGCACAGCCTCTGGAGTTTCTAAAGCCATTTTTGTTCAGAAATTCCTGTTGTTGTTGTTCCTGCTGACCTCAGCGGGCTGTATCTTTTCCAAATGTTTCTGACGTTTCTCACAGGGTAATAATCTATTAATGTCGCAGACAAGGATTCTGCTGACTTCAGTTTGGCTTCTGTTTCCCATTGGATGGGCTCCTCTCTTTATGGGGGAATGCCTCCAGCCAAAAAGAGAGGAAAAAAAACCCCAGCCCTGAGCTAAGTGAAACCAGGCCCGAAGGGAAGCGCTTTGCAGCCGCGTTGCCTCTCGCTGGCTTCTGTTCTGTGCTTGGGGATGTGCCAGACTCCAGTGCCTCCATGCTTTTGATTCCTGTTTATCCCCGGCAACATGATTGTCTGTAATTATATATAATCTCCCCCTTGTTTACTCTTCTTCCTCCAGGTCTGAACACAAGCTCGATGGCAACTCTCAGCTCCGTCTGCCGGGGCTGCAGCTCCAACACTCCTCACCATCCTCCACCTTCTCCTCCAAAGTAACAAAGCCATTGGATTTCCTCCCACCCCTTCCCCGCGCTCCCCCTCCCCCTCGCTGGCACCGGGGTTATTTATACAGAATGTGGAAACAATTTGCAGGAAAGTGAACAATGTAAGCGGGAGTGAGGGAAGGGAGACAAGTTTGTTGTGCACACTGAGAGCCCCAGCGGTGAAACGCTGCTTTTTGGGGGGCTGAGAGAACAGACTGTTTTCCTTTCTTCCTTCTCCTCTCTTTCACCATCTCCCTCAGCTCTTTCCATCTTGCCAGAGTCAGGTCCAAACCAGAGCAACCAGATCTGAGTGCGTGTTTTGGAGGAGGTTCAGGTTGGATCCCTCCCTGCATCCCAGCCCTGTGAGGCGGTGTCTGTGTACTTAATCCTCTCCGAGGTTCTGCTCTCGGATCTTGCTGCTCCTGGATTAGCATTAATGAGGAGCATGTGTGCTCAGAGGTCCTGCTCCAGGCCCCCAGAGCTGTAGCACTGGGCTCAGACACAGCTACTCCAAGGAACAGTTCAGCTGAAACACAACCATTCCTGGGAGTGAACGAGGCAGGAACTTTTTGCAAAGTCTAATTTCGGTCTTTCTCCCCTCACCCACTGAGCATTATGTTTTCAGGACATCCCAGCACCTTGCTGGCTCCAGTGTGAGTGTCTGGGAATCAGGGAGTTTACCTGAGTTCTGCTGGGCTGAGGAAGCTGAACCAGCACTGACTCGGCACTCTGAGCAGATCTGGGATCCTCAGCTCGCACTCTGCACCATGAAGTCCTCAAAAAGAGGTATTCCCAACCCACACACCATTTGGGGAAGGGCCATTGGTGTTGCAGAGCCAAGGAAATGTTATCCCGGGTTGTTGGGGCAGAGCAGCTGCCTCGGCCACAGTGGGTGCCTCAGCCACTCCTCCCCTCCCAGGAGATGCAGCCTCCCTTCCCAACAGCCTCCAGACTTGGGATGGGATCTGTGCAGTTGTGCTGAGCTGGTAGGGCAGGGCCAGGGAGCTGCCAAGTGGAACAGCAGTTCCTCCCTAAACTGGGCACATTCCTGGCTGAGAACTGGTGCAGCAGATCCACTGGCAGAGGGACAGGTGGAAAGAAACATGTGGAGGGCTTTTCCTCCCTGAGAATCCATCCTCTCCACATTCCAGTTCTTCTTGCTCCTCCTCAGTCATTGTCCACACACAGAGGGTGAAGTTTCTGTGGGTGTTTGTTTGTGACATGCCCCATCTGCGCTCCCACGTGGAATGACAGGGATCTCTGGCCAGGCTGGCCCTCCCAGAGCCCCTGGCACAGCAGAGACCATTCCAAATGCTGCTGCTGTTCCTTTAGCCAGTTCTTGGCTGGAATAACAACTCCAGGTGTGAAGGGCAGAACGAGAGGGAGCAAACACACTTTGGCCACCGATGTTTTGTGATTGGGGCAGTTCAGCTCTTTGGGCTCTTTTGATTTTCACTGACTCTGAGAAGGGCCCAGGAACAGCAACAACTTCTGTTTTCTTTCCCCAGCCAGACACCAACACTGCACTGGGAGGCTGCAGCTGGGAACAGGCAGGACCCGGACACAGCAGTGCAGGGCTGGGGCCCGACAGAGCCATGGGGATCCCGGTTCCCACTCCAGCCACACCATGTCCCTGATCCACAACCTGTCTGTTTCCCATCGTGCAGCTCCTGGCAGGAGCCTGGCAGTGTCTGCAGCCTGCCCAGACATGTTGCACACTGTGCTTGGCTGTCTGGCAAAGAGCTGGGATACGGAGAGTGCTTTGAATCCATCAGCCTCCGGAGAGAGAAGCCTCCCCAGCGCCTCTGGCAGCCCTTGCAGGCCCAGGCCATGAGGACAGCACCTCCGGGTTGCAGGGCAATCTCTGGGCACCCCACCGAAGGCTTCAGGGCACACAGACATTCCCAATCTCTTTCTGGCTCCCAAGGGTCCTCCCTGACTCCTGGAAAAATGTAGCCTTGAGTTAAACTGCGTGGAGAGCTGTCAGCAGCAGCACAGGTTTGGGCAAAGTGGAGGCTTGTAGCTCCTGCAGAGGCCTTAAACTGCAGAGACCAGAGGGATCAGGGTAATTTCAGGGAAGCAGCCATAGGAATGATTGTGCTTTTCCCCTTCTGGTTCTAAATGTTCAAATTCTCATAAAATTATGAGAGAAACTGTCCTTGGAATGACTGTGCAGCTGAAAACATCACTGGCTTTTTGGAATTTCCTCTTTCATCTGGTTCTTTTTTTTTTTTTTAATTATTTTTAGGTTCTTTAGATGAGAACAGATTTGTATTCCTCTCTTCCTGCTGCTCACTTACCACCTGAAATCCTCGGCTGCTCCTTGCAGTTCCCACCACAACGGCGAGCGATATCCCGGGCGGAGCGTTCGAGCTCCAGGTGAGGGGGAAGCAACAGCAGCAGATGGGCTTGTAAACAGCAGAGCTCTGGCTCTGCCACAGAGGCCCTGTTGGAGCGGGGAGGAGCGGGATGGTCGGTAAACACGGAGCCGTTTTCATTGTCTGGGCTGCGATGTGTCCGTGTGGGGAGGGGAGGGCGGTGCCGGCACAGCGGCCCTCGCGTCCTGGCACAGTCGGTCATTCCCAGCGCGACCTGCTCGTGTTGGAACTTGCTGCAAATTGGAGAAGACAGGAAAGCGGGGTACGTTTTCCAGCATCAGGGAATTTGTGGGTGATGAAAACAAGATTTCCAGCAGCCCTTTTGCACTAATCTTGGTTTCTACAGGGGTATCCTATGGTTTTCCTGCCCTTCTTCCCTTCCCTTGAATTCCTCCTGAAACTGTCAGTCAGTCAGAGTTGGGAGTAACTTCACTGATAGAAAATTCCCACGAATCACCTGAAAGTTTGCAGCTGGATGGAGGAAAAAGAAACTCAGAGTAGAGTCCCCACTGGTGAGAGAAAAAAGGCAGGCTAAGGAGGCTCATTTCCAGAGTTTATTGAGCCCAGAGGGATTTCTAGAGACCACGTGGTGTCAGGTGTAGAAGAAATGAAGGATGATAACCAGTGTGGAAGAGCAGAGCAGCCCAGAACTCCCACAGCCCAGCCAGGCTCCAGAAATGTTGGAGAGGCTTCAACAGCACTTTAATGTGAAGCTGCTGGCCAAGAGCAGCCCCTCCACCTTGTTCTGTCAAGAAAAGGTCCTGATTCGTGTCATGTGTGTTCTTTCCCTGGACAGGGAGACTCTGCAGATCCTGTGGAGTGCAGGAGTCACAGAGAACAGAGACTGATGACAGATGGCTCCAGGCTGGGATTTTGGAGAGGTCTGTGCTTGATCCAGGATTGAAGGGTTGGTGTTTCTATTTTTTTTGAGATTGGGAGAGGAGAGGTTACTGAGTCCTTGAGTCTTAATGTAAAATGATTAGAATCTGGAACAGATTCCAAAATAGACATTTAGGGACAACTGAATGCACAAAGCAGCTTGGATACCTATCATTGGAGTTCATCCAGTCCTGGATAAAGCCTCTGAAACAGGCAGTGCTTTAGCAAAGTACATATGTCTGGGGACTCAAAATACAAGGAAAAATTATGAGCGGAAGAGATAACACTTTCTCCATTTCTTAGAAAGGGAGAAAATGCCAAAAAGTTATTAATTTTATTCCCAAGACTCTCTCAGCTGGACAAGGATCCAAGGTTAAGGTGATCCCCATAACCTGACACTTGCAGAATAAGTGGGCTCACTGCATCCTGGCACGAGCAGTTCTGGCATTTCTAGGGAGATCTCTTATCCCAAGTAATAACTTCAGAGGTTAATTGGAGTCTGGAAATGAGTTTATTTGGTAGGTGGGCTAGAGGGGGTTTAATTATGTGTTCGAATCAGTGTTGCTTCAAGCATTAATTTTGCCTGGGAAAGGAAGGTGTAATGTCAGGAATGACACTTTCACACTGCTTAGACTGGGAGAGAGTGGGGGACTGGTGAGAGCTTGGGGCCTGAATGGCAGATGAAAATGAGCTCTGATTAAAAGCATCTCTTTTGTTTGTTTTGGGCCAAAAATCCCTGGGCTCTGTGTAAGGCCTGGTTCCCTCACTCAGCAGTTTCTGGACAGTCAGGCTGTCAGAAGGAATCTCTCTGAAATACATGTCTGATTTCTTTTTTTGGCCCTATTTCTCTCTTCTGCTTTGTGTCGTATTCTCCTCACGGCTTTCCAGAGCAGAGTTACTCTTCCACTTGTTCCCTTTTGCCTCCTGCTGAGCCAGTTCCTTTATTTTCCACCATAATTTGTACTGTAGTCACTCCCAGAATCTGGGAAATCATCCTCAGAAGTCTCCCCGTCTCCTGAGCTTACTGCCAGCTCTCCCACTAAAGCTTTTAATTCTTTGTTATAAAGAAGAATAAAAGGCCAGGAAAGTGCACCACGACACCCATTCAGGTGCCATTACCCTGTAATTCTTTCAAAACTCCGTGTGCATTTATAGTCACTGGGAAGTGCTGGAGTGGGAAGCCTCTGGACTAAATCAGTGCGAGCACATGAAAGAGAACAAGTCCCACATGGGGCAGTGGGTTCTGGGCTGGGTTTGATCCCTGACTCGCTCCGAGGGCTCAGGGAAATCACTTTCCTCCTCTGAGCATCTGTTTCCACTCCCCACCTCTGGCTGTGTCCCTGTTTGGACAAGGAGCTCCCTGGGACACAGCACCTCATGTGTGGAGATGGAGCCTCAGTCAATGGAGCCTGTGAGGAGCAGGGAACACAAACTGGGATGGAAGGTATGTCCAGGCAGCAGGGCAGGACTCCCAGACAGGGCTGGAACCCTGCGTGCTGGGAGCCATCGCTGGTCCCACTCCTTGGTTTCTCTCCACCAGCCAGCAAAGCACCCACCAGTTCCAGCTGCAGTGGTGAGGTGAACTGGCACATCCCCAGTTCCACTGGGGAATGGTGTGAAATCATTAAACTCATTTTGCAAACTCCAGCAGTGCCCAATGGGATCAATCATCCTGCCTGGAACTGCCTCATCTCCCCACAGGTGAAAACCTCCTTGTGGCTCCAAGCCTCTCCATCCCATCCCATCCCACCCCACCCTATCCTATCCCATCCCATCCCATCCCATCCCACCCCACTCTATCCCATCCCACCCCACTCTATCCCATCCCACCCCACCCCACCCTATCCCATCCCACCCCATGCCATGCTGAGCCTGCTCCAATTTGCCAGCAGAACAAGCAAAGCCCTTTCCTCCCTCCCCCCTTGTCTGAGGAGGTGCACACACATCCCCTTGGCTTTCCTTCTTCTCCGCAGGCTTTCCCAGAGCCCCTTCCTCCCGTTGTTTGTTCGTTCCCTGCACTCCATCCCATCTTTTGCCTTCCTCCCTGGTTGGATACAGCATCTCGCTGGTCCTGCTTCACACTCGGAGCAGGGGTATTAGATGGATTCCCCATAGAGTACAAATTGAATGGAGAGAAGTGGCTGCTTTCCCAGCAATAATTTATCTGATTAAAAAAATACTCCCCAAACTCCCCCTCCTCCCTCGGTCCTACACCCCCTCCAAAAAGCACATTGGCACCGGGGCTGGTGTTTGAACTGTGTTATTCAAATTGCTGGAAGGGGGATTTAGATGGGAAAATAACTGTCATAGGAGGGTTCTCGGGGGATTTTCCCCAGAGCGTCAGCGCTGAAATTCGGAACATGGGTTGTTGTGTGGAGGAGGCAGAGAGTAAATAATTCTGAGTCAAGTGCCTCCGTGATTTCTGCCTTTGCCCTCATCTAACAAACACCTTGCACAGATGCACACACGGTGCTCACACACGTTTTCCCATCACACAGGTTCCATGGAGGAGCTGTTAGCAGGAACTCCAAAGCACACCAGGCTGCTCTGCTGCTCCCTGTCTCCTCTCTTTTGTTTGCCTTACCTCAGGCTGATTCCAAATGAAAGAAGGAATATGCTCCCTAAAATGCCTCTCTCCTTGTTTGTCACCTGCACAGGGTTCATTACTTCCAATCCAGCCCGATCCAAGGCTGGTCATTTTCTTCTTCCACCGGAGCCAACATTCCTGTTGTAACTGGGGGATGGAAAAGTCACCCCAACATT